AAAATTAACATTTAGGGTGGTCCTGAGGGACCAGCAGATGGTGTGGTGGTTAAAGCACTGGGCTCCCACATTGCCATCCCTGGTTTGAATCCTGGACCTCGTGGCTTGCTTTCTCACTTTTCTTCTTCTGTCTCTCTCTCTCTCTCTCTCTCTCTCTCTCTCTCTCTCTTTCTCTCATAAAATTGAAAATAACAATGATAAATAAAACTTTTAAAAAATAAAGTGATCCTGAGATGATATCTTGAGGCCCCTGAAAGAGGCAACACAAAACTTCCCTAGAAGGACACAGCTTTCACCCAGTCCAAGCTGAATATATATCATATTACAAGACACACAAGGAAATAGTCTACCATGAGCAAGAGTCAGCAGACATGAATACACACACACACACACACACACACAGCTTATCTCCTTAAAAATGTCACATAGTAGAATTGGATAGAGACAATAAAGTAATAATGTTTGTAACAAAGACATAGAAGAAATAAAAAAACATAACACTAAGACAACTTTGAAGAAGAACCAAAAAATATCTAGAAGTGAAAAATCCAATCATTGAGATTTTAAATCAAATAGCACATTAATACTGGGTAGATAATTAAATGGATATACATTTAGATATAAGGAAGTTACCCAGAATGTAGTGCAGGGACAGAAATAGATGAAATAGAAGAAAGAAGGAAAGGAAATAGGCCTGACATTTTCTCCAGGTTATGTTGTTATTTCTGTAGATAATCCAAGAAAATCTCCAGAAAGGTCATTGGATCTAGTAAGACTTCAACAATACCAGTGAGTACAGGCTCATTTTACCAAATTGTGCTCCAGTCACCATCAATAATCAATTAGTAGAAAACATTTTTTAAAAAGTTAACCCTTAATGGGGCCAGCAGGTGGCATGGTGATTGAAGTACCAGACTCCCATGTGGCCAATCACAGTTCAAGTCCCAAACTTGGTGTCTTACTTTCTCACTTCCTCTCTCTTGTTCTCTCTCTCTCTCCCTGGTCACATTTAAAAAATAATAAATATTTTTTAAAAGTTCACCTTTAAAAATCTCAATAAAAACTACAAGAAATCCACAGGTAAATTTAACAAAAAAATGTATAGATTTTGTGTGAAAAAATTATGAAACCATTGAAAAAATGTAAGAAAAAAGTTAAATAAGTGGAGAGGTATACCATTTTCATGGATGTAAGTCTGAATATGGTAGAGATAACGATTCTTCCTGATAACTTATAAATTTAATGTAATTCTTTTTTTTAGAGATAGATTTTTGCTATCAGGTGCGTGCATTTGCCAGAGAGAGGTGAAAAGTGAGAAATAATCCCCCAGGAGGGATGGCCATGCCGTAATCCCTTCTTCTGCATTCTCCTTTTGGGATTTTGGGCATATATGCACACACCCCAGGTGTGGGTTTCAAGCCTCCAAGTCCAGGTCTCAAACCACAGTCAGCCACATGGGAGTCCATTATGCCATCTGCTAGTCCTAATTTAATGTAATTATAATCAAAATCTCAATACATTTCTTTTTCATGGAACTTGACAAGGTAATACTAAAATTTAGATGGAAAAGTAAAGACTATCAGTATAAATGAAGGAATATGGTAAGGAATCTACTACCATATATTGATATATCATGAAGCTAAAAACATTGTATTAGATTGTCAGAAAAGTCATGACATCTTTTTCTATGTTTTTCAATGCAAAAATGCTTCATGACTTTCCTGATGACCCAATAGTATGGTGTAGAAATTTAAAAAATGAATCTGTGCTACAAAAATGAGACCTCAGATACATAACAATCCCTGTTCATTTGGCACCTTAATAAATAACAGAGATGGCATTATAAATCAGTAAGAAAAGCATGGACTACTTCATAAATAATGCTGGGTAGAATGATGACCTAGATCCCTACCTCACATCATACTCGTACATTAAATGCAGTGGCATTGAATTTAACACCTAAATGTGATCAAGCAAAATTTTAAGGTTTTAGAATGAAATTGGAGAAGAGCCTTTACAATCTTGGGGTTGGGCAGGTTTTCATCACCAATCTGAAAAATTTATATCATGTGGGGACCAGCAGTTAGCGTAATGGCTATGTCGCTGGACTCCCATGTAGTCGACCGCGGTTCGCGTCCCGGACCCGGTGGCTTAAAACACGCCAGGCACGTGTGGTGGCGTAGCCATCCCCCCTGGGAGGTGATTTCTCGCTTTCTGTCTCTCTGTCTCTCTCTGTCTGTCTGGCGAGCGCATGCGCCCTACAGCACAAACTTCTCCACAAAAAAAAAAAAAAATTATATCATGCAAGAAAAGATTGCTAAATGTACCTGTGTTAAAATGTATATCTGCCTAACCATAGATACTTACAAACTAAATTAAATCACTACCACAAACTAGAGTTGATATTATGAAACATATTTAACTAGGGCCAGACAGTGGCATGGTGGTTGGGGCCCTGGATTTCCACATGGCCAATTGTGGTTCAAGTCCTAGATCTGGGCAGCTTGCTTTCTCACTTTCCCTTTCTCTCTCTCTGTTTCTTTCTGATCAACTAAAAAATAATAATAACAAATAAAAATAAATAAATAATTTTTTTTAAAAAAAGATGTTTAACTAGAAAAGTATGGCATCCAGACACCATTAAACAATTAAAAACTGGAGGGACAATCCAATAGTAAAAGCACAGCCATGGCATTAGACAAAGGAAATATCAGGCAAATCAAAGTAGAGGAAATTCAAATGTTTATAAACAAATGAAGAGAAACACAGGGGATGAGAATTAAAGCAACAGTGAGGGGCCAGGAGGTGGTGTGGTGGTTAAGGGCACTGGACTCCCACCTGACTGACCACGGTTCTAGTACTGGACCTGGTGGCTTGCTTTCTCACTTTCCAGCTTTCTCACTCTCTCTCTGTCCCTCTCTGGTCAAATTTAAATAAATAAATAAATAAATAAATAAATAAATAAATAAATATTCTAGCAAAAAAATTTCTTAAAAAAAAAGATATTGAAATACTGTTTCTCACCCATAAGAGAATCAAAAACATAGAAATTTACACTGTGTTGGCAAGGATGTGGAACAGTTGCAACTCAGTTTATAAGTGCATACACTTGGTTCAATCTTTTTTTTTTTCTTTTTCTTTTTCTTTATTTTATTTTATTTTATTTTATTTTATTTTATTTTTTTTGGAGAGGTTTTTGCTATAGGGCGCATGCACTCCCTAGGAAGAGAGAGAGACAGAGAGACAGAAAGCGAGAAATCACCCCCCCCGGGGGGGGGATGGCCACACTACAATCCCTTCTCCTCCATCCTTCTCTCGGGATCTTGGGCACTTACGCACACTCGCCTGGCGTGAGTTTAAGCCACCAGGTCCAGGACTCGAATCACGGTCAGCTACATGGGAGTCCAGCGACATAGCCATTACACAAACCGTTGGTCCTGATATAATCATTTTAGGGAGCTATTATACAATATCTGATCAATCAAATGTGTATACCCTGCAAGTCAACAATTTCAGATACATAACTTAAGAAAGTCTCACAAGGCAATATGTACAAGAAAGTTCCGTATAGCACTGTTACTCATAAGGAAAATTGGAGTCAAAAGAAATGTTTATCTCACCATAAAAATATAGTAAGTTGTGGTATATTCATAGAATGATATACTATAAACAATTAGCATCAAAAATACACCTGTATCAATATGGATAGACCTCTTGGGTCAGCTCCCACGTCCTAGTCGTTAAGAGAGCTGGATCCCACAAGACTGACTGCGGTTGGAGCTCTGGCCATAGCAACTTGAAAAACACGGTGGGAGCATGTGTGTATATGCCCCAGATCCTGACAGATGGAGAAATGGAGAAGGAATTGTGGCATGATCACCCATTGGAGTGTTTCTCCCTCTCCTCCTCTCTCTCTCTCTGACTATCTGGTGAGCACATGCCTCCACTAGCAATAGAGAGGTAGATAGATAGATATAGATAAATCTCATAAACATGGTGTTACGCATATGGGCTAGTCTGTGGTTAGGGCCTCTGGATCTTATATAGCTGATGGTGGGTTCGAGTCCTGGACCCCACAGCCTAAGAAACTCACCAGGAGCATGTGCATTTGTGCCCAAAATCCTGAAGGGAGTGTGGCCATTCCCCATAGGGGTTCTTTTTCACTTTCTTCCCCCCCCCACCCCGCCCTGTGAATGCATGTGCCTTTCTGCAAATTAAAAATAAATAAATAAAAGGAATTTGAAAAAGAGAATGCATGTATCACCACCCATTAATATAAAGCTTAAAATAATACAAAAATGTATTATTATTCCCCAGGGGGGATGGCCACACCACAATCCCTTCTCCTCCATTCTCCTCTCGGGATCTTGGGCACGCACGCACACGCGCCCAGCGTGAGTTTAAGCCACCGGGTCCGGGACTCAAACCGCGGTCGACTACATGGGAGTCCAGCGACATAGCCATTACGCTAACTGCTGGTCCCTTGGACCAGTAGTTTTTATGTTGGAGTGAATTGAGTCCGATGGGTGGCTTCAGTTTTATCTGTGATGGCACAGGTGGGTAAGACTTAACAGTGAAAGCCATCATTTGGATCAGTGGCTTAATTTCTCTGTCTCTCAATTTCCCTATCTATAAAATGAGAATAGTAAACTTTATATACCCCATCGGGTTGTTGTGAGGCTCAAATAACTCAGTAAATGTAAAACAGTGCAGTGGTACCTGTCAGATAGTAAATACTATTTCAATATTTGCTCTTATTATTTTGTAAGAAAAAATAAAAGAAGATTTGAAACAAAGCAAAATGCTAATATTTGACAGTTTGATGGTGGGTACAAAGGTATTTCTATTATTTCATACTTGAAGTATATATTCTGAAAAGTTTTTTTAATTAAAAAAATATAATAAAGGTAAATGACAAACCAGGAAAATCCTGGCAATACATATAGTAGACAAAGGAGTAATATACTTAATACATAAAGTATATTTTAAAACAATACAAAGTGCTCGCTTCGGCAGCACATATACTAAAATTGGAACGATACAGAGAAGATTAGCATGGCCCCTGCGCAAGGATGACACGCACAACAATACAAAAAAGGCACAGGACCAGCAGATGGCATAATGGTTATGTTGCTGGACTCCCACATAGTAGAGCACAGTTTGAGTCCTGGACCTGGTGGCTTAAAACTCAGGCCGGGCACGTGTCGTGTGCCCAAAATCCCAAGAGGAAAATGGAGAAGGGATTACAGCATGACCATCCCCCCCAGGAGGTGATTTCTTGCTTTATGTCTCTCTGGTGAGTACACATGCCCTATAGCAAGTATCTCTGCTCCTCCCAACAAAAAACCTCCGGCCAGGCACATATGTGTGCATGCCTAGAATCCCAAGAGGAGAATGGAGGAGAAGGTACTGGAATATGTCCATCCTCCCGGGAGGGGAGGTGATTTCTTGCTTTCTGTCTCTCTGGAGAGTGCACATACCCTATAACAAAAATCTCCCTAAAAGGAAAAAAAAATGGGGACCAGCAGTTAGTGTAATGGCTATGTCGCTGGACTCCCATGTAGCCGACCACGGTTCGAGTCCCAGACCTGGTGGCTTAAACTCACTCCTGGCGCATGTACGTGCGTGCCCAGGATCCCGGGAGGAGAATGGAGGAGAAGAGATTTCAGCATGGTCATCCCCACTGGGGTAGGGTGATTTCTCACTTTCTATCTCTCTTTCTGGCAAGCACACGTGCCCTATAGCAAAAACCTCTCAAAAAAAAAAAAAAAAAAGACAAACACCCTAATAAAACAATAAGCAAAGGATATGAACGAGCCAGTTTGTAAAAAGGGAAACATAAAAATCAAATAAAACAACAGTGCCCTGTTGAATTAGAACAGGCCGTGGGGAGGGAATAAATGAAGCAGCAACTCCCATGCATGGAATTGGCTGAAACCTGTGTCTTAGGTTCGAGTACCGGACCTGGTGGCTTGCTTTCTCTCTCTCTCTCTCTCTATCTCTGGTCAAATTAAAATGAATGAATAAAGATCGCTTGGCAATATGTGTCAGGATTCCTAAAAAGGTTCACCGACTGCACAATTCCATTCCCAGAAATCTGCCCTAAGAGAAGAATTGGGCGAGTTGTTTTAACACGTGTATGTAAAAGGATGTTTATTATGACAGTGTTTTTAACAGGGATAAAAGAATGCCGATCATGGTTAATCTGGTTAGGCACATCTGTACAGTGGAATATGCCACCACTGCTTAATAAAAAGAAAACGAGGCTGTAGATTGTGTTTAATGGCACAGAAAGATGGTCACGAGGTGGTAAGTTTCAGTGCAGGTGTACAGCATGTAGAGTATGCCCCATTCAAGGTGTATGCCAAGGCCAAGGAGAATTGGGGGCTCCCCATAAGTCCTCTCACTGCCCGGGAAGTCGCTATAGGCATTGATGGCTAAGCAGCCCTCCTGCCAGGAGTTGGGGGGGAAATGGGTCCCCACACCCAGAGCCGCCATCTGCCAGGTCCCAGCGAGCCTCTGTGGCATGCAGAGTTGTTGGCATCTGAAGGCGACCTCTGCCTGCAGGCTTCAGACCCCTTGGCCACTCTCACAGGCACAATGAATGCTGCCCACGGTGACCAGAGCCGTCCCCTCCCGTGTGGCACCCACTTTACACCCATGAGCTCTGACTTAGATGCCTCCGATGACGTTACTGTTACCCCATTGTACATACGAGGACACTCAAGGCTCAGAGAGGTGAAGACGCTGGCCCAGAATCACAGGGTGGCAGACCCTGCCTGGAACTCAGGTCTGGCCGCCATTCTCTGGCATCTTAAACTACTGAGCTTTGATCACATGCCTTGTGAAGCCTGGGTAACCCCGTAGAAGGCGGAGGCCTGAGACCAAAATTCACGCACTTTTCAAGAATAGCTGTATTCGGGAACCAGCAGTTAGCGTAATGGCTATGTCGCTGGACTCCCACGTAGTCGACCGCGGTTCGTGTCCCGGACCCGGTGGCTTAAAACTCACACCGGGCACGTGTGCGTGCGTGCCCAAGATCCCGAGAGGAGAATGGAGGAGAAGGGATTGTGGCGTGACCATCCCCCCTGGGGGGTGATTTCTCGCTTTCTGTCTCTATGTCTCTCTCTGTCTGTCTGGCGAGCACATGCGCCCTACAGTGAAAATCTCTCAAAAAAAAAAAAAAAGAATAGCTGTATTCGAGTACCTAAAACAAACGCTCTGTGAGTGGATGGGGATGCCTGGATCTGGCACGGGAGGGGGTCAGGGCACGTCCTTTAGAGACACTGGCTGCAGGAGGCCGGGTCTCTGTGTGTCCTCACCCATCCTAAGCCGTGTGTCTGCAGGTAGGCAGCCTGAGGCAAGTCTGGGCTGTTTCTGATGCCAGGCTGGTGTCCTGGTGGTGAGGAGCCAAGGGCTGGGACATCAGGCTGGAGAAGACAGCTGGCCCCAGGGGCTGGGCAGCCGCCGAGAATGCACTCACTGGGATCCTGGTGCAGTCAGGGCTGGCAGCCCAGGAGGGAGACCCCGCTGGAGCAAGTCAGGAGGCCGGGTGCCCTGCTGGCCTGAAGGTCTGTCCAACCCAGGCGGGGGCCGCTGATTGCCACTCTGTCCACAGGTCTTCACGGGAATCTTCACAGCAGAGATGACCTTCAAGATCATCGCCCTTGACCCTTTCTACTACTTCCAGCAGGGCTGGAACATCTTCGACAGCATCATCGTCATCCTGAGCCTCATGGAGCTGGGCCTGTCCCGCATGGGCAACCTGTCGGTTCTGCGCTCCTTCCGCCTGGTACCCGGCTGGGCCCACGGCAGGGGCGTGGGTGGGGAGCCGGGGCACCAGGGCACACCCCCACACCCCCTCCAAGGTCACCCCTCGGTCATCCCCACGTTGCTAGGTACCCCGGGGTGCCCAGCCCCGTACTGGCGGTGTGGGGGTGCAAAGTGGGAATCCAGAGGAGACATCCCCAGGAGGAGCAGTTGCATGGCCATCCTGACGATCTGCCAAGCTCTTTATGGTTCACGACGGTCCCTTTAGTCCTCACAGCATCCAGGAGTGGGGCTGGTGACCCTACATCCCCATCTCACAGATGAGGAGACTCAGACGCAGAGGGGAACTGAGTTTCACGTTTGCACGTCCTGGGTGGAGCCAGCCCTGTTCCCTGCTTCTTTCTGAGTCAGCATTTTTTAAAATTATTTATTTAATTGTATTTGTTCATTCATTTATTTTCATTTGACCAGAGATACAGAGAGAGAGAGAGAGAAAGCAAGCCACCAGGTCCGGTACTCGAACCGCGGTCAGCCATGTGGGAGTGTCCAATGCTTTATCCACCACGCCACCTGCTGGTCCCCTCTGAATCAGCATTTTAGTTTTTAACTTGAATGTACACAAATCACCGGAGGATCTTGCTAAAATTCCAACGCTGATCCAGTATCGGGCTGCTGGGAGTCTATGCACACGCTTACAAGGTCCAGATACGGAGCCAGAGGTGTGGTTAGGAAAGGCCCCCCTGGAGGAGGTCCTGGGCACTGCAGGTGCCTCTGCTGGGAAGTGTCGGAAGGCAGATGGTGGGGACAGTAGGAGAAGCCCAGAATGCGAGTTCTAATCCTGACTCCATTGCTACAAGCCAAGGGACCGAGACAAGTTACTCCCTGTTCAGGGCTTGGTGTCTCCGGTCTGTCAGATGAGGTAATAGTGCCGACCTCCTGTGGCTAGTGGGAGTCCTGAATGAGCTCCTGCATCCTAAGCCCAAGGCTGTGCACGCAGTAGGTACTTAATAAATGCTAGCTCCTCCCCCTTTCTCTATGGTACTGAACGGAGAGAGAGAGGCAGTGGGCCAGCCTGAGATGGTCTGAGCTAGCTGGGATGATACCTGATAAGAACAGATACGGGAGAGGAAGGGTGTTCCACACTGGGAAAATCTACTGAAAACAGGGTTGAGGAGATGAGGCTGGAGCTGTTGGCCTGACACAGAGCCCGAAGTGGCTTCCCTCAGGTGTGCAGAGATCTCTAAAGCTCCTGGAAAAACAGGGAGAAGCAGGCAGCAGCTCCTCCAGGGACTCCCTGGGCTTTCAAGCAGGAGCTGGGAGGGTAAAGATGCCCATGGCGGTAGGAGCCAAAGCCCTTCACGAGGACCCCTCCTGTTCTGCTCTCCAGCTGCGCGTCTTCAAACTGGCCAAATCATGGCCCACGCTGAACACGCTCATCAAGATCATCGGGAACTCCGTGGGGGCGCTGGGCAACCTGACACTGGTGTTGGCCATCATCGTGTTCATCTTCGCCGTGGTGGGCATGCAGCTCTTCGGCAAGAACTACTCCGAGCTGAGACATCGCATCAGCGACTCCGACCTGCTGCCCCGCTGGCACATGATGGACTTCTTCCATGCCTTCCTCATCATCTTCCGCATCCTCTGTGGCGAGTGGATCGAGACTATGTGGGACTGCATGGAGGTGTCTGGACAGTCCCTGTGCCTGCTGGTCTTCTTGCTTGTTATGGTCATTGGCAACCTTGTGGTGAGTCAGCCAGGGTCTCACACACACACACACACACTCATTCACCCAGCTACCCACCCAGCGAGTCATTTGTCTGTCCACTCACTGGCCCTACCATTCACTCACTCAACCGTCTAGCCATTATGTCCACTCACTGACCCTACCATTCATTCACTCAACCGTCTAGCCATTATGTCCACTCACTGACCCTACCATTCACTCACTCAACCGTCTAGCCATTAAACCATCCATCCATCCATCTCTCTACCCATCCATTCTCCAACCACTCCTTCACCCATCTTTCCATCCACCCACCTCTGTGCCCACTTGTCCGTTCCTCTATACTCTTACCATCAATTCATCTGTTCATTGACCCAGTCGTTCTTTCTCCTGTCTGCTCATTCAGACATCTACCTACCCAGCCATTCATCCACTCATCAGTCATCCACCCACCAGCCACTATCTACCCACCTCCTCGCCCGTCTGTCACCTCAGTTACTAATCCTCCCATCGTTCACCCAGTCATACCTCCCTTAACCCCCATCTCCTCATTCACTCATCCATCCATTCATTCACTCATCACCCACCCATTCATCTGTCTGATGTTCTGTTTTT